CCTGAGTTCAATACCCTGTACCAAAAAAATAAATAAGTAAATAAAAAATGCAAACTGCAGAGCAGGGAAGCCAGGCTCCCAGCTCAGTTCCAGAAGCCTGAAGGTGCAGAAGCAGAAAGCAATTGTGCAGCCTCCAGTCCCAGACCAATGGCCCAACAGCCCCCCAAAAAACCTCTGGAGCCAGCTCAAGGGTGCAGGAGTTAAAGAAGGGGGATCAGATGCCTAAAGGCAGCAGCAGGAGAGAAGAGTCTCCCAAACCCTCACTGAATAAAGTCTCTCATTCTAGGGCCCTCACAAATCTTCCAAACTGGAGAAAGAGACAACATTCTCAGTTCCTCTGCCCTTGTGTAAAGTGCAGTCAAAGTGTGTTGTGCCTGCTCTGCCACCAAGAGTGTGCCCCTGCATAAGGCAATAAGTTGGATGGTTAGTGACTCAGGCCCAGAGTAAAACATGTCACCAAATTTCATAATATGTACTGAGACAAATACTAAATTGTAAAGCAGCATGGTCTTTTTTTATTAAGGTTCACAATTCAAAGTCACTAAGACATAAACGAGTATAAACACGGACATCAGCTACAAAACACAGAGATGTCTCCAAGGCTTGCTACTAAAAATCCACAAAACACTGGTGTTCCCTATGAATATCGGTCATCCTACAGTACATTCCTCTGAGCGGAACAGTAATTTAAAGTAAAAAAGTACTGAGCATTTGCCTTGATCTACAAACTGAGAACACAGTTTTATCAAATCTGACTTCACTGATTTCTTTTAGTATCAGAGCTCCCTTCCCTTTACTTTTATTCCTGAGAACTCCTTGGGGATTTTTCTTGTCAGGATTAATGTGCTTGCACAGCTGCTAGGCACTGAAAGCACCTCTGAAAGTGCTATGCAATACTTCTCGCCATCTTCTCCATGTCATCTTATCCACCAGGAGGGAGAGGAAACACGTCTGTGAGCAGTGACATTCCCCCAACCATGCAGGGGTTTCCGGTAGGGCCAGGGTGGACTTCCTGGGTGTGTGATTCCTCAGCGACCACAGCTCAGACAGGCCCAGCCTGGCTCAGTGCTCTCATGTGGTCATCCTGAAGCTTTGGCAACTGATCTGTGCATGCTGCAGCTGGAGCCAGGCGGCAATGCCACATGGGCATGGGTGGAGGATGTCTGTCACCCATTCTTTGCTGCCCCATTCACTCACAGGCACAGAATTTTGGTGCTGCCACAATGTGTACGAATTCAGCAAGATTTAGAGTGAATAAAAGATAGCCTGTTGTGTCTCTGGCTGAGTAGGGATGTTGACACTCCAGGTTGTGGGCACTTTTTTCACACACCAGACCATGCTTTCGATGCAGAAAGAGCACAATGATGTTCTAAGAAACAAGGAGACCAATGTGCCACTTAGCCTCAATTGCCAACTTGATGGGAGTAAGGGACTCCTGAGCGGTAGCTGGATCATGGTGGCAGGGGACTCATCAGTGAATTAATCCACTTGTGCTCATGGCTGAATGTGCTGCCAGGAGGTGGGGCCCCCATGGGAGAAGGTGGGTCTCTGGGGGTGAGCCTTTGGAGGGTCTCTGCCCCTTGTCTTTTTCTGCCTCTGTCTCTCTGGTTCTCTTCCCCTGTGCTATGCTTTCTGATCTTGGTGAAATGAATAGTTTGCTCTGCCATTCCCTTCCACCATGATGTTTCTGCCTTGTAGCCACGTGACCATGGACTGAATCCTCTGAAATCACAAGTCAAATAAGCCATTTCCTCCTTTAAGCTATGTATGCCAGGAATCATGTCTGAGTAACAGGAAAGCTGACCCATACAGGCAAGCACATTTTCATAGTCTTTCTTGGTTATAGGTTCCTTTTAGTAGCAATCATTTGTGCTGAAAATAATCATACAACAGGAAACGAAAAACAGAGCTCAGCTTCCATTTCCTTCCACTTCCTCCTTACTCATCAGTAAGACAAAGGTAAAGATTATCAGTAGAATATTCATATATCAAGAAGTGAAATGAAGATAATTGAGTTGACTTTGTGCAGTGTTTTTACTGTTCTGTAAGAACAAAAT